ACCAGTACCTATTAAATATAGATTTATTTTCAAATGTTACTGTAAGAAACCTTTTGTAATCTGTTGACAATTATTTTTGGTGGAAACCCATTTGGGTGACTAAATTGAATCTAACCTTTTCAGTTAGAATTTTCAGCAGATGCTTAATTTAGGCCTAATAGAGTATGATATGTAAAAATACAAGTCCTGTTACCAAACAAAAATGAATTTAATCTTATACAGAATACATTGCATAATTTGTCCCTTAAGATTGTACAATTTGAGGTAGAAAAAAAAATCACCTTTTTGATTCATGTCAAAACTATTTGTAGGGAGAAAATGGAATTTTAAGAATTGTTTGGAGGCAAAAGTGAAAAGGAAAAAGAAAATATCAAATAAGTACTGAAATTCAAAATTAGATGTAAGTAAAAAATATCCAGGGTTTAGTGGATGCATACTCTTTTTTTTTTAATTTATTTTAATTTTATTTTTTTATAAACATATATTTTTATCCCCAGGGGTACAGGTCTGTGAATCGCCAGGTTTACACACTTCACAGCACTCACCATAGCACATACCCTCCCCAATGTCCATAACCCCACACCCCCCTCCCAACCTCCCGCCCCCCAGCAACCCTCAGTTTGTTTTGTAAGATTGAGTCACTTATGGTTGCATACTCTTATATCCATTTCTACTCTTCTATCTTCCTGTCATAAGTGCATTCTGCACAGAATTTAGAGAGTTGACTACTTCTTTGATTCTAGTAGCAGATCTTGTTTAATCTATATATCAATAATGGACAATAAGAACTGAGGCAGAAAGTTGTTAAAAGGTTTCTAGGAAAGATATCACCTTCTGAATTCTGTGTCTCTGTATGATGACAGAATTCCTACAGCTGTCTTGCCACTTGCATAATAATAAAACTGAGATATGGGGGGGTGAGGAAGGAGACCCAAGAGACTCCAAAATGGTACAGAAGTCTTAATATACTATGCCTGAAAATATTTAAACTCTGAATATTTTGTTAGATAAAATTTCCTTTTCTAGTGTGAATTCGAATTTTTTGTTAGCTGAAGATATCATGATGATATTTAATTTGTTCTACTCTTTAAAATGTAGATTGAAAAAATCTTTTTTATCTACTGTTCTACTTTTTAAAAAAAATTTACATTAGGAGGCATATTTTCCAAATACAAGGAAGCTAATTCTAAATTCTTAACATGTTAGCTGAATTTTACTTTAACAATTAAATGCAGAAGTGTTTTAAAAATAGTCAATTATTGGGGCACCTGGGTGGCTCAGTCAGTTGGGCATTCTGCCTTGGGCTTAGGTCATGATCTCAGGGTTCTGGGATTGAGCACTGCGTTGGGCTTGGCAGGAAGCCTTCTTCTCCCTCTCCTGCTCCCCCTGCTTGTATTCTCTCTCTTTGTCAAATAAATAAATAAAATCTTTTAAAAAATAGTCAATTATTCCTCATGAAAACTTGATCTATATTAATGTTTTTTTTTAAATCATGGTCCCATAATTATGAGTTATTGTAATAGATATTTTAGTTCATAAGGAAGTTGGTGTTTTAAAACATGAAATATGAATCTCTTCATTTAAAAATGCAAGTTGTTTTCAGTTTACTTCTACAACAAAGTGACCTTTAGAAAATTAGAAATATTTAAAAATTTAACAAAAATTCATTTTTAGACATGTCTTTACCATTGAAAAGATTAAACCTTATTTGATCTTTTCTCAATGGGTTTATAAAAAATATTAAGAACATGAAATTACCAATTCTAAACCACTTTAAAATGTTTATCTTTACTAACTGAAGATTTTCATTTAAAAATTTAAATATATTTAGAAATTTGTTATTTTTAAATAAACGTTAGAAGGCACTTTTATTGAATTGGTGGTGAATGCCAGCAGGCGTCCACAACAAACTTGGTAATGTTTGTTAGTAGAGGAAGGCAAGAATAGAAGCAATGGCTCAAGGCACCTTTGTAAATAAGGTCTTACTGGAATGCTTATCAGAAAAGTAAAGAGTCTTCTTATTTATCAAGGTACTTGAGTATAAGATTAAATTTTCTTCAAAGAATGAACCTCTACTCCCAACTAGGACGACTTGGTATTATCATACACACAAAATTGAAAATGAGCAAAATTCAAATAAATGAATCAAGAAAATCCACAGGATTATGTATTTTTGTAAACTGACTTTGTCATTTCTTACAGCAGATATTAAAAATAAGCAATTTCTACAAAAATTATAGAATATTGTGTAATGAAGCTACAGCTACAATTCATCTAGACATCTGATATAATGTCTATTAATTCCTTGTGCACATAGCAGAGATCTCAGTTCCCTGATACTATCTTAACAATCCATTTACCAGCATTATGAAATATTGTTCAAATATTTGAACACTTTGATAGACTGGATTATCCAGAAAGAGATGTCAAGGCTTGACATACCTACTACACTTCCCAGACCTACTGTTCAGTCTTCTTAAGAACTTTCTGCTTTTGAGGTAAATACTTCTCAACACAGTGATTCAGAGGCCCAATAAATTCAAGTTGGCATATGAGTCTCACATAGATTCTCATAGTAGGTAGGTATTTACTAAACATATTAATAAAGCTTGAAAAGCAAGATACTTTTACAAGATTTACTATAGGTTGTGATAAGATATTCCACAGACAAAAGTTTTGCTTAGAAATTATTGAAACTATAAAACTCTGAATGTAACAGAAGACGATACAGATTGTGTGTGTATTTGAGTTGTTCAAAGTGTTTTGAATCATAACATCAAAGCCATCTAAGTAAAAGCCTGAAAATTCTGAGTTTAAAATTGACTTTGAAATAACCCTCAAAACTATAAACAAAGTGAGATATTGGGGAAAAAAAGTCTAAACTTCTATTCTTAACATGTAAAGAAATGTAACAAATCCATACAAATAAAAAACCCAAAAGGAAAACAGACGAAGATCATGAAACATTAGTTCACAAATATGAAAACACAGATGGCCAACAAATACAAGAAATGCTGTTTAACTTTTGTAGTAATAAAAAAAAGTAACCATGAAATATTTTGCTTTACATATCATTTTGAATTGGCTGACAACTTAAACAAAATCTCCTGATCTTGGAGTATAGGGAAATGGACAGCCCTCCACACTGATAATGGAATTGTAAATGGCACAGGTTTTCTGTAGAGCATTTGGGAAATATTTATCAAAAATTATTTTAAATTACCAGCCCTTTTCAACATTAATTCCAATGAATTACACATTTTCTTAAGAAAATAATTGGATATCTGTAAGCATAGATACATTTGCAAGGATGTTTATCTCCAAGTTGTTTATGACAGAAGAAAAAAGGGTGGGGGTAGGGAACAATCTAATAACCTTTATCTATCAAGAGAAAATTCATTATATTATAGTACAAACATTGAAGGGCTAAAACTCATTAAAATTATAATGCAAATAATTTTTGTGGATCTGGAAGTTGACTACAGCATATTGTAAAATTAAACAAGTAATTTGAAATAAGGTTATAATGATTCTATTTTTGTTAAATTATCTATGTGTACATGTATAAAAAATTGGGAGGATATGCAATAAGTTTTAACAGAAGATTTGTCGGCATAATAGTATTTTATGTTGCTGTTAAATTTTTCAATGTCTAAAAGAGACTTTTAATTTAGAAAATGTGCCATGAACAAACATATAGTATATACAAAAATAAATAGAAACAGATTTTCTTATTCTTTCATAGCTAAACTATTGCCAAAGACAATCTTTTAATATATCTTTTGTACTGGTAATATAAGAAACAAGCTTTGAATATATAGTTGCAGGAAACCTCTAAGCAGAGTAAAAAAATAAATAAATAAAATAGAATAGCAATAACAAGAACAACAAAGCTATTCCAGACACCATTGGTAAAACAGAATTTTAAAGTAATTATTTAAATGTTAACAAATAACTCTTGTTTCTGTTTCCAAGGTGGATTTCAAATAGCACATAATGAATCAAGTAACACAGATCAAGGGTAAGAGAAAGAGAGGTCTGGAAATGGGACTAAAAATTATTCTAAAAAATAGGCAAATTAATGTAATTTCAATTTACCAGAAAATTAGTGAGCTTCTGACAAATTGAGGTTAAAACCAAATCTTAATGGGTTATGTTTCTCTCATGTTCTAATAAAAAGAGACATGAGTTCATAAAAATAAAGAAACATACTTTTCTCAACCCTGAGATAGTATCATTACATCAGAAAATATAAAATAGAGATTGAAAAAGAGTTGTTAAACAGAATTTCTATATTCTCTATATATGACTTTTATAATATTGGTGTCTGGTAAAAACTTAAGGCATAATACTAACCGGTATAGGTATGAAGAGAATTAAGACCAAGCCAACTTTTCTCACCTTAATTGACAAAAGTTTAAAGCTTAAGGAATATAGACATTAAAGTTTTACTACTCAAGTCCCAATTTTGATAATTAGCAAGCACATGAATTATATATATAGTCTACCAATGGAAAGAAGAGCAAAATGCCCTATAAATCAGGTTTGTAGGAAACATTAAAAATCTCCATCATTAATTTCAGCCATCAGAAAACAACCACGTCAGGATATAACTTCAGAAGAAATTCAACTATTTCCTACTACTTTAAACATTAATTCAAAATGAAATTAGATATTGAATTTATACTAGCCATTCTTAAACCTTTGGTTTCTTTAAAAAGCTTAGATGAGAAATTAGAGAATTTGTTTATGAAAATAAATTACTTTGTGATTTTTAGTTGTAAGAACTATTTTTAGCATATTTTCCTAGAAGAAATTAAAGATAGCAACATTACTAAAATAAGAAAGAAAATATGAATAAACCCAGATAATTACCTCACTTCATGCGGCTCAAAATGTAATAAAAAATATATCTAATTATACTTATTGCTACAGATACTGAATTAAAATCAGAGAAATACACAATATTGTAATTAGAAGATGTGCCTCTGTAAAATGAATCAAGCTTCCAAGATTCATTTATTTTTTCCACACAAGAAAAAAATAGCTTTGTATACAAAACCTTTTATCACAAAGTTTACTAAATTAAGTGGCCATCAGCTGGGATTTGGAATTTTCTCAGGATAATTCAGGCAGAGATCACTATCATTCCAACGCCTGCTGCAAACACTGGCTGGTGCAGTAAGTTTTTCTCTCCTAGGGCCTGTGGGCCAGGGCAATGTAGAGTGGCTTGGAGCCCAAGATTCGCCCATTCATCTCAGCCATTGCTTTAGTGGCCTCCTCAGGAGAAGAGAAGCAGATCAACCCAAACCCTTTGCTTCGCCCTTCTTCCCGCATTATCTTGACTCTGCTAATTGATCCAAATGAAGAAAATTCCCTCCACAGTTTTTCATCATCGATGGTATCATCGAGGTTCTTAATATAGAGCTTCATGCCCCGGCTTCTCCGAAATCTTTCCTGTTTCAGCTGCTCAAACATTTGCTTCAACTCAGCCTGCCGCTCTGATTTTTTTTGTGCCCGGCCTACAAAAAGCAGCTGTCCGTTTATGTCCTTTCCATTCATTTCTTCAACAGCTTTTTTGGCAGCCTCATGGCTATCAAAACTCACAAAGCCAAAGCCTTTGGATTTCCCACTGGAATCTGTCATCACCTTAACACTCAGGGTTTTGCCGTATTTACCAAAAACTTCCTTCAGTCTCTCATCATCCATGTCATCGCCAAAGTTTTTGATGTAAACATTGGTGAATTCATTGACCTTGTTTTGGAGCTCAGCTTCCCGATCTTTACGGTTTTTGAATCGGCCAACAAACAGCCTGCAGTCCTTAAGCAGGGCCCCATTCATCTCCTCGATGGCCCTGTCAGCCGCGATCTGGTTCTGAAAGTGCACAAATGCATAACCCCTAGAGCCTTGATCATCAGTCATTACTTTGGAGGACAGGATCTTCCCAAAAGCTGAAAAATGTTCATAAAGGGTTTTATTATCAATAGATTTGTCTAGATTCTTGATGAACACGTTCCCAATGCCAGATTTCCTTAAGTAGGCATCACGTTGAGACCACATGAGACGGATGGGTTTGCCTTTTATCATGTCAAAGTTCATTGTATCCAGGGCCTTCTGGGCATCAGCCAGCTTCAGGAAGTTCACGTAGGCATAGCCCAGCGAGCGGCGGGTGACCAGGTCCCTGCAGATGCGGATGGACAGCACAGGCCCCACGGCGCTGAACTTTTTGAACAGCAGGTCCTCGGTGACATCTGCATTGAGATCACCCACATACAGGGATGCCTGGCGGTACTTGGCTGCTACGTTCATCTCTTTGCTCCTCCCCACGTGAGCCTGTCCCTAGCAGCGCTTGGAACGATTCCAGCAGCAAGGTGACCAGGCCACGGTCTGGGCCGGGCTCACGCGTGATGGCCTGAGGATCAGGGCTTAGAGGCCTAGAGGTGGGGTTCAGGGACAGCTCCAGCAGGTTAGGCAACAGCCTCATCAAAAACCTCCCCCGCCCCCACAAGCAACCAATTCGGCTCTAACTGTATGATAGCAGCAGAATTCTGAAATCTCAAAGAAAGGCTGGCAGGGCAAGACGTTCCTTCCCCATCAATCTGTGAGAAATCTTCAAGGGGTGGGCTGGCCCTCCATCTGAGCGTTCTCTACAGGCACCCTGGTTGCTGGTTTCTGAATAAAAATAGGCCTCTCTCAGGCTGGTGTAAAGTTACAGCTGCCGGAGGAAGAACTCCACAAGTGGCGTTAGAGGCGGCTGCTCCAGCCGCGCAGTGGGGACGGAGGGCGCAGGGCCCCGGCGAGACCCGAACCCGCCGGGGGCCGAGTTCTGCAAAGCGCCGCGGCCAAGGCGCCGCCGGGGCCAACGCGGGCCGCGGGCGCCCTGGCAAACCCCGGCCACTCTCCGCAGGGCCGACCCGGCGCGGCGCCTGGGGATGGACGAGTGGGGGAAGGGGGAAGCGGACGGACCCACGGACGCGGCCCAGCAGGCTGCGGCCGAGCTGGGGCTGGGGGCTCACCCGGGCTGCGGCCGGCGGGGGGCGGGCTGGCGGCTGGCGGGAAACCCGGAACTCGCGCGCTGAACTTCCCGCGCACCCGCTGCCAAGTGGGATGTTTTCTTTTTAATATTTTTTGAGAATGTTCTTCTTCCCCCCGCCCCTCTCACACATTTCCCACCTCCCTCAGACAGTTACGCGGAGAAGCAGGAGGCGGTGACTTGGGTGGAGAAAGGCTGACTAGGGGAGTGGCCCTAATAAACCCACCCGCCTGCAGGGATTTGCACCGGTCTCACCGGAGGATCTTTTCCAAACGTGGATCAGGGCTTGTCACTTCTTGCTTATCATCCTCCAATGGCTTCCTTTGACTCGTGGATGAGGCCCAACATCCTCACCTTGTGCTACAAAGTTCTGCAGTATTCCTGCCAAGTTCCAGCCTCAACTTACTGCTTGGTTCCCCTTACTAAAATCCATGATAGGCTGACTTATTTTTTTCAGGGCCACCTTTACAAAAATGGACTTCTCAGAAATCAGTTTAAATACTCTTTCCAAATAGACGTTTTCCCTAAGTAATTTAGGAACGTTTTGATTTCCCTCTTAGAACCCTAATAGTACCCTTGTAATTCCGTGACAGTAGGGGCCATGCCCATTTTATTTCTAGGCCTAACCGAGGGTCTTTCAGAAATGGGTTGTTCAATGTTTATTCAATTTATTGACTATGGAATAGATGCGGTATTTAGCCTGAGGCTGTTTTTCATGCCCAGGGACATGAAGATAGTGTTGCTTACCTCAGAGAGTATTGTAAGGATTTAATGAATTAATAGACTTGGAAATATCTAACAGTATCTGACAGTCCAGGTTTTCAGTAATAATGATTTTATTTCCCCTACCATTAAATAAATTTCTTAACATCATTTTCATAAAACCTTAAAATGTGTATCATAACTCATCTTAAGGATTGTTACAAGCAAAGTGGATTTGGGTGGATCAGTTTATATAAAGCTAATTACATAAGGCTTTTCAAACTTTAATGGACATAGGAATCACCTGGGGATTTTGTCTGAAAGCAGATTCTGATTCAGAAACTTGGAATGAACTGGAAATTCCATTTCTAAAAAGCTCCTGAGTGATGCAAATTCTGCTGCTCTGTGAACTATGCTAAATGACAAGGTTTAAAGTTAAATTAGTGAGTCCCCATAGTGGCATCTTTTCTAATGTAAGAACAAGAAAAAGTATATTTCTCCTTCATAATATAATGATACTCTAGCAATTAGTAGTACATTAAAACAACAACGACAACAACAAACATTAAAATCAGAGCATGATTCTCATTATAAAATCCAAATTGCTTTTAGCATATCTAAAATTGAATAATGGGTTTGTGATTCCTCCCAAATTAATCCTGATTAATGACTTCTGTTTGTGAAGTTTATTGTTATATGTTGCTCCTGTAAAATCGTTAGTTCAAATAAATAATCTTTTCTTCAGCCATATCTTCAAGGCTTCAATTTAAAAAAAGGAAGAAGGATGGGCATGTGGGTGGTTCAGTCAGTTAAGCATCTACTTTTGGCTCAGGTCATGATTCCAGGATCTTGGGATTGAGTTCCACATGAGGTACCCTGCTCAGTGATGAGTCTGCTTCTTTCTTTCTTCCTTCCCCTCCCTCCTGCTCATGCTCCCTCTCTTTCTCAAATAAGTAAAACAATTAAAAATAAATGAAGAAAGAAGGAAGAAAGACCAGTTATGTAGATAGTAGACACATCAATGAATATCAGCAACATTCCAGCATATGCTTTAAAAATTCAGATGCTACTTTGGCATTGTTTAAAGTAAATAAAATTCTTCATACTCAATATTATCAAATTTTTAAAAGAAAGTTTCTAACTATATTTTTCCCGAGAATTTTGTCTCAAGACTATTTCTAGGAAATATGCCTAAGATCACATTAGGTCTTTGTATAATAGTAATTCAGGTATAGCAAGATACCAGAATATTCAAGAACTCATGGGTTTTTCCATTTCACTTTGTGTGGTCTTCACCCAGCATATTGTGAAAAATAAAAAAAGGAGTTTCCAAATTCAGAATTTAGTACTATATTTTTTGACTCTAATCAACTTATATGGAATAGGTACAAACCTCAATTTGTTAAATTACCACCAATCATGCTCCTTCCTATCTATTCTACTCATTATACTGTTTTAATTTTTTATATTTTAACAAAGCAAGTGCTCTTAAACATCTATGATTCTTCCTTCCCTTTAATTCTCTAAATTTTATCTTTTGCTTTTGTCAGACGTGTTCATTCACTAATTTCTTAATTTGGGTACTCTTTCCATTTATCCTGCTTTTCCCTTCCAGTTGCACTTCTTTACCTCATTTCCTTGTGTATTATTGCATGAGTTTTATTCATTTATCTTCTTTTACCTATATGCCAGTCTGTCTATATGCCAGTCCATCTTTCATTTTGCTGCCAGAATTAATTTTGTTAAAGTTTCTTCCATAAGATTTTAGTGAAAAATAACAAATGGCTTCCAAAACTTTGCAAAATCAGTCCCATCATAAGTACATGTATCTTCTGTCAGGCTTGTACTTCAATTGTTGTACATACATGTGCGGTTCTTGGATTATCCAAATTCTGTCATCCTTCAGTTCCATTTGTGCCAACTTTTTTTTTTTTTCCTCCCAGTAGTCCAGCTGACTGGCACTGATTACTTCTCCTTTTCTGAAATAATCTATTTAACATTTCCACTGTATGTATGAAACTAATTTTGGCATGAGTTCATTGGCTTTGATAAACCTTGACTTTAAATTATCATGTATGATATTGTCTTAAGCTTTCTTTAGCTCATCGTTACAGCTACATATATTGCCGACTTGAATGTCTTCTTACTTCCTTAACTACTCTGAACATATTTCAGTCAAGGGCCACTATTTTGCCTCATTTCAAAGTAAGTTGTAATTTTGCTTATGTTTCTTTTAGCTCAATTGTCCCTTCAATGTACAGATTTATTACGTGGGTGGCTCACAGAATTAAGTGGGAATTAAGGGCTTCTCTGCCTTAATGACAGGAAAACGGTCCGTGTTTCTATTCACTGATACTGATGTCAATGTAAGTTATTGCTAACTTTCATATTTATTTTGGAGAAATTAATAAATAGCTACTATGAATTTGAAAATGCATTTTAAAATAAAAATCTGTGGTATTAATTAGACCAAACTAGTTTCTGATATCGACTTGAATCATTGCTCTGATGTAGTCAACTACTGATAAAAATTTTCTTATTTTTGCTCAAAATGATCTTTAGTGTCTTAATTGAAATAATTACATGAATAAAACTTTCTTTTATTATACTTAGAAAGTGCCATGTTTAATATTTACTCTAAAGTATATTGTCCCTTTCAGATTATTTGGGTTCAATTTCATTTGACAATTAGGGTCTTTTTTCAGATTTAATTGTTTTCTGTTATCTTTTTACCCAAATGCAGTATTAACTTCTTTAACATGAGGAATGTAATTTACATATCAGAGTTAGCCTTCACCATATGGGCATTTCAAAACGTCACACACAATAAGTAATGTCTGATTACTAGTAGATCTCGATCAAAAGTTCAGTTCAATCCAAAATATCATTTACTAGTACAAATATCAGGCATTGTTGCAAGAAAACTGAATAAGACAGCATTAAAAAAAAATAGATAGCATTTTTCCACGAAAGTATCATAGCTCTTATTAGGGGAAACAAAACAAAACAAAACAAAAAACAAAAACAACAATGTAAAAGCAATAATCTGAAATAGGTAAGATAGAAATGTAGTGTAGCATAGCAGATATTTTAATAATTCTGTCTATGAAGGTTAAAAAAGCCTTTTCAGAGAAGATGGTGTTAGAGAAGATTTGGGTGTCTTTTGTGAACTCCAGGAAAATTTAGGGCTAAGTAAAGTTAGTAGTAACTGGTATCCAATAATATTACTGGAATATAAAGTGTGAAGAAGGAAATGTCAGGAATTGAGGCAAGACAAGGGGCAATAAGCCAGAGTGCCTTACATGCTAAGTTATGATACAGACTTCATTCTAAATGAGAACTATTGGAATAACTGATTGAAGTGACATGTTTACACAATATTTCAGAAAGATAATGTGAAAGTAATATGAAAGTCATGGAGTCACAGAAAAAGGAAGGAGGAAAGATGCAAAGTAAAGATGCAAAATCATTAACCACCTTGCATATAAAAATGTATTTTCAAATAAAATATTTTATACTAATTAGACCAAAGTACTTTCTGAAGTCTTGAATCATTCCCTGAGGTAGTTAACTACTGGTAGAATAGTTCTAGAAACTGAGAATATGATGACTATTAAGGTACAACTGGTGATGAAAAACAGTTAAAGTTGTAATCTGACTGCCCTCAGATGGGTGCCCAAAGCCCTTCAATTTTGTCACTGTGCCTTCCCTACTTCACTTGTACCTTCTCCCTTTGCTTCAGAATTCTGAATTCCTCTTACATTTGTCCCACATTGCCAAAGCCTGGAAAACTGTTCACTCTGCATTCTCAGATTCTTCAGAATTCCTTTCTACAAAGAATAAGACTTCTCTATTACCAGTGCTGATCACTTCTCATAACACCAATACATTGTAACATTATGCCAAAATCTTCTCAATCTCACCAGGAGTAAAGTTAAGGAAAAACAGAAGGAGTGAAATGGTCAGAAAATACCCTTTGCCCCACTCTCTTTTCTAAATGGAACCTATGTGCC